GGAGGTGTCGCGAACACGTGCCAAGCAGCCCTAGACACGAAAGCGCGACGCATCACCAGGGGACTGGTCGGTGAAGCCCCTGGCCGAGAGGCACGTGGCCAGAGGTTCAACTGGTGAGCGGCGTATCGAACCGCGTAGGGCCAATGAAAATGGGGCGCACGGGTGTGAATCATGGAGGTGCGTGCGATATCCATGACCAAGCCTATGCGGCGCTCAGCAACCCCATTCTGCTGTGGGGAATCTGGAAGCGTCTAGGACTGACGAATGCCCTGTTCACGACAGAATCCAGCGAGAACGCCGGAGCGAAACTCACCCCCACTGTCAGAGTGAAGACAACTAACACGACGGCCACGAGTGCCCTCAGTGGTGAGTAACCACCGGATCAGCGTAGAAGTCACGTCGGACTTTTTCGCTAGAGGAAACACGGTGGTGTAGCGAGAGTAGTTGTCAACGACCACCAGAAAGAAACTCTCTCGCTCGGGGCCAGGGCGAGAGGCGGGGTCCCAGACGTCCAAGTGGAGGTCTCGAAGGGCTCGGTGGCTGGACGATGGGAGGAGGAGTGAGGGGTTGCGCGCAGCCGACCCTCGACACAAGGGGCACAAGGTGGTGCAAGCGAAGGCGGCAGTGACGGCAAGACTCGCGGGAGGCCTAAGACGAGACGCTGAGTAGACATAGTGCGTAGGCAATGAACAGACGGGTGACCAAGGCAGTGGTGGTACAGAACAGTGGGGTGGGCAAGCGACCGACACGAACAAGACGCAGCAACCGGTCTTGACGCTGGAACCTGACCAGACACAGCTACATGGTGGGTGGCGGCAACCTGGTGAGACGCTGGGACCTGACGGGGGGCAGTGATAAGGGTCAGAGGTAGCCGCTGCTGCTCTTGCTGCCGCTGCTCCTGCTGCCTCTCGCGGGGGCCAGTGTGAATTGTGTAGAGACCAGAGCCTGGCTAAGCGTGAAAGGTGGCCAGGGGTGCGTACGTGTCACCGTCTACACAGGTCGCAGTGTCCCCAGAAGGCTCAAACCAAACACCCATGTGACTACCCACGAGCGGCCTCACACCCACCAAGTTCCTGGAGAACGAGGGGACATGAAAGCCAGTCAGGAAACTCGAGGGAACAGCCGGGCACGGAAGCGTAGTAGTGTAGCGAGCAGTGACTGGTCCCGAGTGAAAGACAGCGAAGCGTCCTCCAGAGCAGCACCTGGACTAGTACCTAAGCAAGTACCTACACTAGCAACTGGCCCAGGATCAACACTAGCACCTAAGCTAAAAACACGTGAGTAAACAGAGTCAATAGCAGTAGAGTTAACAACAGCATACATAGCATGAGGAGTTCCTAAGAGATCAAGCAACTAAGAAGCAGACATAGCCCACAGAGCGGCACCGCACGAGTGAACAAGAGGAAGCCAGTCAGGCGCAGGGCCGTCGACACCGTAGGCCGCGCGAAGAGTGTCAGTGAGCTGAGCAAAGTACTGACCCGGTAGGTGGCAGCGGTCACAGCGGAAGCCGCTGCGAGTACCTGTCTAAATGATATAAGGGCAGGGAGGGTGGGCGTCACCACGCGACTGCTGACGTGGTCCTGACCCATGCTGCTGCTGTGGCCGCTGCGAGAGGAGTGGCTGCTGCTGCTACTGTCGCTGAGCCAGGTACCAAGCCGCCACTCCAGCACCTGCAGCTGGCACTCTTGCAGGTGCCCGAATAACCCGAGCGGCACCTCCACCAGCCGCAGTAGGGGAGTCACTAGACGCGGCACCAGGTGCTCCACCAACTCCTGCACTTCCACCACCGCCGCCCGCAACACCACCTCCGTCGCCCCCACTGCCGACCGCACCCTGGCCACCCCTCCTGCCACTCCGAGCTCTAGACTGCGCAGAAATCGCAACAGCAGCTGTGGTCACGTTAGTAGCGACAGTAGCGAGGGAGGCAGTAAAGGTGGGCAGCTGAAGGACAGTGCACCCATGAAACAGTGGCGGGGGCACAGCACCAGAGGCGGAGGCTACTGAGCGGAGGTTGCTCTCGACGTCCTTGAGGGCAGACTCAAGAACGTCGATAGTGAGCTCGCTAGGGTGCTTCGGAAGAAGCGCGTCACGAACCGAGGCTAGGCGGTCAGGGAGGCTAGTGGCGATGAAATAGATTTTAATCGTCATGGGGGGGGGGGGCGGGGAGCAGTGCAAGCTGTGCGTCAGTGCAGGCGGCGCAGTAGCTAGAATCCAGTGAACGCAGGTGAGCGATCAAGTCACCAGAGCGCTCAAACGAGGCGAGGTCAGGAAACAGGAAGGTTAGGAACTGGTGACCGAGAGAGACAGTGGTGGGAGTAGCGTAGCGGGCCTTGATCGCCGTGCGAACCTGGGTGAAGTGGGTCTCCTCAGACTTGGGGAGGAGGCTGCTGAGGGCGATGCAGGCCGCAGCATCGCGCGACCTCTAAGCTGTCAGCGCAGCACGCTGGCGTGCAACACGATCTCTGGCCTCATGGTGGTGTCAACGCCTAAGGAATCATGATCGGGGGGCGCACGGAGGTCACCGGAAGCGTGCGCCCACATGGACTCGTCTGCCTGAACCTGACTCTCTAGGAGGCGTTGTGCATGCAGGAGCCAGACAGAGAACTCGAGCGGCCTACCCTCGGCGTCAAAATGGAGGACACTAGGCGTCGCCATAGCGGAAGCGTAGAGAAGTCGTCTAGAAGGCCGGAGGAGGGCACGGCAAGCAGTGCGGTACAGGACGAGAAGGGAGGGACGTAACGGGACGGGCACGGCGCGGCGGAAAGGGCAAGCGCGGTGAGACCGGACGGGCAGGGTGCAGGGCGCGTCATGCAGGGCGCATGGGGCAACGGGCAGGGCACAACAGGTGCAGACGGGCAGGGCGCAACGGGCGCAGCGGGCAAGGCGCGACAGGCACGGACGGGCAGGGCGCAATTGGCGCGACGGGCAGGGCGCAACGGGCGCGATGGGCAGGGCACAACGGGCGCAGACGGGCTGGGCGAAAAAAGGCGCGGACGGGCAGAGCGTAACGCGCGCGGACGGGCGGACGGGCATGGCGTAACGTGCGCGGACGGGCAGGGTGCAGGGCGCGACGTGCGGGGACGGGACGGGACAGGCGCGACGCGACGCGACGCGACGGGATGGGACGGCTAGACGCGATGCGACGGGACGGGGCAGGCAGACGCGACGCGACTGGACTGGACAGACAGGCGCGACGCAACCGGCAGGCACGACGTGACGGGACGGGACAGGCAAGCGCGACAGGCGCTAGGGAACGGTACGGGTGCAACGGTAGAGCGCTACGGGCGTTAGGGGGAGGAATGGGATCCTAAAGGATCCTAACCTAGGTGATACCATGTCAGAAACTCAAATGATGATTGACTATTGTGGGTTGGGGTACATAAACCTAACCCTAACTGTTGTACTCCATATGATACGCATCACTAAAGGCTACATCCTTTGACATGTGCCCCTACTACAGCCTACACATATATAATTAGTTTGACACAGAGTTGCCCGTTATTGCCTTATTGTTTCTCTTTACTGGTCTTGTGACCATCTATCTCAGCGGTTGGACTAGCTGATCCGCCCTGAGTTGTTGCTTGTCTTGCTCATTTCATGCCCCTCACCTAGCCTATGGGGGTGCGCCAGATTATAAACATATGTGCATGTTAAATCTTAGGCTACATTGAGGCTTTTTGGAGGGTACAACCCCTTTTAGGATTCCCTATTTGTATACCTAGTTTCATTTATTCCGATGTACTTGTTCTGAAGAAATTACTTTAGACGTACTCCCAGGTGTACTGACCAGGTGAATTGGTACATGCATAAGCAAACAAGGCCAAAACGTTTTACAATTACCGTACAACTCAAACATGCATCGTCATCAACCTAAGAAGAAAAGAACCCTTTACCCACTGTTACAGCAACTGTTGAACATGAAACAGCAACATGCTACAATTCTATTAGATGAACTGCTACCGTATCACCCCGGATATAAGCGCAGGCCTATGTTAAGCGCATGCGCTTATATCTGGAGCAATGCGCTTATGGCCGATCCTCGATTATAAGCGCACCCCCTGTAAAACCTTGACTTATTATAAGCGCATAAATAATTCTACAGTTAAATCATAATTAATACAGTAACGATTTCCCTTTTGCAGCGAGTCCAAATCCGTTTCTACTTCGTTTGACTCGCTCGAGGCGAGCGATTGCAGGAGAAAGAAGCGAAACGGCGTGAAGATGACTGACTGACAGCACATCGTTGGGAGGGGGGGGGGGGGAAGATGGGCGCTGGAAACGACTGTCTTGTGCGTTGTGCGAGAGAAAAAGGGGCAGGCGGGGGGGCTCGGGAACGACTATGCCTCTGCGCTGCGAGCAAGCGACTCCGTGCGACTGGCTCGTACATTGGTTCGGGGCGAGCTTGACGCGTCCCTCTGCGCTGTGACGTGTCCTCGCCCCTGTGCGGCGGCAGAAATCGCCCTCGCGCGATTCTCTGATTTGGGACACTGTAATGTTCTGATTCGATTGAAATTGCACGACTGAGATGTACAGTTTGGTGAATTTAAAACATATTTCTGTAATTGTCATATTATAAGCGCATGCGCTTATAATTCTGACTCAATTAGAAGCGCACCCCCCCAAAAAACACTGTTTTATTATAAGCGCACCTGCGCTTTTATCCGGGGTAATACGGTATAGCACTACTCCCTCCACTGTTGCATGGAGAGGAAATGAACTTACCGATGGCTGGTGCTCTCCCTGCTTCTCACCCCGATGGCTGGTGGGTACAAGCAACCCTGTGGCAAGCTGCAGATCGCTACCATGGACGGATGGGCCTGCCTTGAGCAGCAAGGCAGTTTTACAGTAGACAGGCACAGGCCACAGCTATCCCGCAGACCATGATAACTCTGCCATACCAGTGCACTCCCAAAATCACTATTGCACGCGCCTCAGTGCAGTGCAGTGCGCCCTGCGAGTGCCGCATGCCTCATCAGTGGTGCATGGCAGGGGGCTGCACATCAATGGTGCATGGCGGGGGGTTGCACGTACCCCATGTGGGGGAGGGGCATGCCATGTGCCGCCACCACAGGCCGCGCCAGGTGGGTGCGCGGGCCATACGCGGGGTGCCCGGGGGCGGGCAGCATGGGCATCATGCCGTGGTGCACGTGCCCCATGGGCGGCGCCCCTACCGGCGGGCCAAACACAGCAGAGGCAGGCGGCATGGGCTGCCCGTGGGACGGCACCCCTTGGGCGTGTGTGTGAGCATGAGGATGGGCATGGGCATGCGCGTGCTGGTGCTGCAGCGCCTGCTGCGCTCCCCCACTAGCAGCCCCTGCCGGCTGCCCTGTGATCGGGCCGCTCTGCTGCTGGCCTGCGTCGCCGGCAGCGCCTTGAGCAGCGGCAACGGAGGTGATGTCGTGGATGGAGGAGCGGCGCTTGTCCTTGTTGATGGCGTTCAGGCGGATGAAGTACTTCTGCGCGTGCGACGCCACCTGCGTGGGCGTGCGCGAGATGACAAAGTTGCGCGATATGCTGCGCCAGTCGCCCTTGCCAAACTTGGCCAGCCCCAGCAGGAAGAGCCTGAAGGGGGGTGCAGAGGCATGGGCATGAGAGGAGAGGCATGAGAGATGGGCATGAGAGGAGGGGCATGAGAGGAGGGGCATGAGAGATGGGCATGAGAGGAGAGGCGTGGGCATGAGAGGAGAGGCGTGGGCAGAAGCAAGCATCAGCAAGGAGGAGATATGGGGGAATATGTGTGAGGGCGTGCACTGGGTGTTGTCATGCACTGTCATGTGCTGACAAAACACCACACAACAGCACAATAGCACAGCACAGCACAGCACAGCCGTCCCAGCACAGCACGGCACGGCACGGCACAGAACAGCACAGCACAGCACAGCTCAGTTACGACTGTGGATGTATACATTACACAGTGTATTTCATCCCCCCAAAAAAATCAACACAGCACAGCACAGCACAGCACAGCACAACACAACACAGCACAGCACAGCACAGCACGGCACGGCACGGCATGGCACGGCACGGCACGGCACGGCACAGCACGGCACAGCACAGAACAGCATTGCACGGCAACTAGCATGGAACTAGCGTCGCCCCGCCCTTCCCTGGCCACAGTACGACCCCAGCGACAGCTGCCCACAGCACGCACCTGCGTTCCTCCAACCCCCCCCTCTTGCACAAAGCGCGCACCTGTTCGTCCCCCTCCCCCCTCTACCTGTCCATAGCGCGCGCCTGCGTCCCTCGCCATCCCCCTCCTCCTGCACATAGCGCGGCGCGCGCCTGCGTCCTTCCCCATCCGCATTCCCCATGCCGCGCACCTGTGTTCCTCTTCGGTCCACGGGATGCCCTTCCGCCTCTCCTGCTCCGACCCCCGCGCCTGCTGCGCCGCGGCCCCTTGCGACGCCTGCTGCTGCGACGACGCCTGCTGCTTCGACTGACCCGCAGGCGACGCCTGCTTCTCCTTCCCCGCGCCCGCGCTCCCCGCCGACGCCTTCCGCGCCCCCGACGCCTCCGCGCCTGACCCGTCTCGCGGAGATCCCGCTGACGTCATCGGCTCGTCCTTGACGTCAGCACTCGCAAGGACGTACGCGCCATTGGCATCGAATGCAGGCAGCGGCACGCGGCCGCTCTCGATGCCGCGAATATCCTCCTCCAACACCTCGTAGTGCCGCCGCACCTCGTCCGCCGTCTTTCCCGGAAGCTTCGCCGCGATCGCCTCCCACCGCGCGTCGTCCGCTGCAGCGGCGTCGGGCGACGCGTCCATGTCGACGAGCAGCGTCTCGAATAGTTTGTCCTCCGCTGCCGTCCATGTCGACCCGTCGCGCGCGCGCTCGTCCATTGCCTGCTCGTCGAGCCCCGTCGCCATTATCGCTCACGATCTCAGCTTCCTAGGTGGTAACGCTACTTGCGATAATCGCACTTCCATAAGCCGTGTTGGTCCGCTAGGTTTTTGAGTGCAGGCCGATGATGAAGGCTATTACACTCGTGAGGTGTGGCACCACACATCATGTACCTAATCCCGTGGAGGTGGAATGGATAAACACAAGAGCGCCCCCTTGGGGGTGGTGGTCAGCGCCTAACCGTTTCTACAGTGTTCGGTTGAAAATCGTCCCCTAAGTTGTTCACCTGATTTGTCTATCACATTCTATGAAATTATCACCATTCCTCCGCTTCGGGACCAGCCCGAACCTTGCTGCCAGCATCGCACTAGCTAGCTCGCCAGCACTACGTTACGGTTTGTATGTTTCCCCTATATATGTTTGCTCATACCTTCGCTCACATCTCGTACTCGTTTGCCGATTTAGTGCAATCCTCGCTGTTGGAATAACCGAAAGGTTATCGTAACATTCCCGAAGGCTCTCCTCCCACTCGTCACTCCAAAGAAAGCAACGCGTCTGTATCAGTATCGCAATAGCTCATATAGAGCATGCGGAAGATCGAGAGTCATCCAAAGGTCAACAGTCGAAGCGAGTCAACGGTTGTGACTCTTGACCGTCCAGTAACCGCATTTGGTAGTTGTGCGATGCAACGTGGTAACTGTTAAGAAGAGCAATAGTCATGGTTACTGTAGCAATGCAATTCAGTCAATAAGGGAACGTACCTCTCACAATACATGGCTGTCCGAATAGTAGCTAGAAGCTAGGGTTTGTGAAGAGAGGGTTTGGCCAAAAGAGCGCTTGAACTATAGAACGCAGTACACGTTATAGGAAAAGGGGGGAGGTGGTGAAGGGAGGTAGTGTGAAGATAGGAGCTTAAGCTAAGAAGCCATAGCTAGGTTTTAGGTTATATGAAAGAGAAATAGGAGAAGAAGGTGAGTTTCACTAGCAGCAATGAGGATACATATAGCAAACCCTAGATGGGTTCTACTCGCTATAGAGCACCCCACTACAGGCTAGAGAATAACATTCTGACACACCCCCATAGCCAAAGTGGGGTGTAATCAGTACAATGAGCAAGCAGGTATAGAGCAGGAGTTCACAAAGGTAAGCAAAGTTAGAGCTAATCACAGAGGGCAAGTGAGGAGGAGGAGAGACTGTGGAGGGAGAGAAGATGGGAGGCAACGACTGAAGCTGCAGAGGCACGGGCACATGAGCGGCTGACTCAGAGGCTACCGAAGCAAGGGCGACGGACTACTGGAGTGACTGGCTCCGCGGCTATAGACGAGCGGCAGGAGCAACGGACCCACTGGCGACTGGTGCAACAGGCTCACTGGCTACCGAAGCAAGGGCGACGGACTACAGGCGCTGCAGGCGACAAGACAGCTACCTTCACACAACCTCCTCCAACTGCCCCACTCCCCTCTCACACACCCCCTGTTCAAACCCTAGCTCCACTCCCACAGCACCCCCTTTAAGCCCTAAACCCTAGGCTCCCACACACCCACCCCCCTCAGCGACAGCTGCAGCAGTGGGAGTCAAGGGAGGAGGAGGAGCAAGGGGAGGAACACATAACCGCCACCCCCACACCCGCCACCCCCACGCTCTGCACCCCACACCCCCAGCACCACGGAATGCACGGGGGGGAGGGGGGGGGGGGGGGGTAGGGCCGCGACGAAGAAAGGAGGAGCCGAGGCGCGGTCCTGCCCCCGGGCGCCAGAGCAGGCGGCAGAAGGGGCGACGCGCGGGCCCCCGGCCCCCTCAGGTCGCCTCGACAGGCGACGGGAAAAGGGCCAGGGCGGGGCCGCGACGGGGCCGAGACGAGGCCGCGACAGGCGTCGGGGCAGGGCCGCGACGGGGCCGCAACGGGGCCGCGACAAAGTCGCGGCGGGCAACGGGGCAGGGCCGGGGCGGCGCCGCGACAGGGCCGCGACGGGGCGGCGTCGGGCGACGAGAGGGCGCGACGGGGGGCCGCGACGGGAGCCGCGACGGGGGGTCGCGACGGGGGGGGCCGCGACGTGGGGCCGCGACAGAGCCGCGGCGGGCGACGGGGCAGGGCCGGGGCGAGGCACCGCCGCGCGCCACGGGGCGCCCGACGGTCAGAAAACCGCCGCGCGCCACGAGCGCGCGGCGGGAAGAAAAAAGGGCCGCGCGCCATAGGCACGCGGCAGGCAGGCGCGCGCTCGAGGCGCGCGTTAGGCAGAGTAGTAGCAGCGGAAGCAGATGGGCTCACAGGCCAAGAGCGTAACAGCTCTGATACCATGTGAAGATAGGAGCTTAAGCTAAGAAGCCATAGCTAGGTTTTAGGTTATATGAAAGAGAAATAGGAGAAGAAGGTGAGTTTCACTAGCAGCAATGAGGATACATATAGCAAACCCTAGATGGGTTGTACTCGCTATAGAGCACCCCACTACAGGCTAGAGAATAACATTCTGACAGGTAGACCACCTAAGACAAGATAGTTGTTGATACAACACTAACTAACTAAACATGCAATTATATAAGAATTACAAATTCTGACAATGGCTAGCTATTTTGTTATTTATACCCTTGTAATCTTATCTTATAATTATCTTGATCTCTTTCAACTTTTATTTAACAAGGCCACCACCAAGGCTTCATTGCCTTCTCTAAACTTAGCAAACTCATTCTATCCACTTCGATCCTTCAGTTATAACAGCATGGTATAAGAGCTAGAGTGGATTATAAGTTTTGCCAAGTTCTTGTTCTTCCTAGAAATGAATTTTTTTGAAAGTGTGTAACACTTTCAAAAAATGTGTATTTTGAAAGCGAAGCTGCTTGTAATGCAGCAATGGCAACGGCGAAGTGCTAGACGCTCTTCGCCAACTATATAGCAGGGGGTGGAGGCCATTTGGCCTCCACCCACGTCTTCGTTTGAAATTTCAAATGTCTTATTTCCCACCCACCCACCCTAGCAAAAATTGCATGTTGTCATGTGTAATGTAGGTACCATATATATCCCGGACGAGAATGATGTAATGCCCATTTGAAACGAAGCTCGTTGCCATTGCAAACACAAGAAAGCAAGCTTTCTAAATCAAACTCCTTATAAAACTACTCATTACAACTACTACAAGTCTGCATCATTATGGCTCCTGCAGACTCTTCGGGCCCACCACCAGCAACGACTAATGCGCCATCAGCGGTGAATTCCGTCAGCGCCGCTCTCGTTGAGCAGCTAGTCGCTCGCATCAACGCGCTTGAGAGCCATCAAGCCATGAACATCGATGGCTCGAGCTACGCACGAGGAGTTGCTGGACTCCCTCTCGTTGAAGAAGAAAGCCGCGTCAACTCCGAGAGGTCATTCACATTTGACAACCGTCAAGCTTCAGCTCCTGCGCAAGACAGTCAACAACATATACAATCAGAAGCAATTGCGACAATGCAAACAAAGTTTGTTTTGACTTCAAAGCTGAAGACTTCAGTTCCATTCGACGGCAAGGATTTGTACACATGGAGTTTCGAATTCGAGCTCCTCGCAACAAATGCGCAGATCTGGATGTATTACGACAGAAGCTTACCTTTTCCGACGGAAGGCACCATCCAAGAGAAGAACCACAGCTATCACGAGTCCCTTCTCGCTGTCAGAATGTCATATTTCTCGAGTCTGCAGTGGGGTACTCTATAGTGAGTATAGCCCTGTTAGGGTTTGCTATATGTACTAAACAGCCTGCTAGTGAAACCGCTCTTTTGCCTATTCTCTCTTGCCTAGCTAGCTAAACCCTAGCTATGGCTCCTGCGTTCTAGCTGCTATTGTGACATGCTATCAGAGCGGTTACGCTCCTGGCCTGTGGGCCCGCTTGCTTCCGCTGCCATACTGTCTGTTCGCGCCCCGTGGCGCGCGATGTTCATTTTTTCTTCCCGCCACGCGCTCGGGGCGCGTGGCGGTTTTCTGCCCACCGCGCGCCCCGGGAACGCGCGGCGGTTTCGTCGCCCGTCGTGGCGCCCCGGGGGCCCACGCGCTGTCCCCTCCCGTCGACCACCGCGGCGCCCTGGGGGCCCGCGCGTCGCCCCCCCTCCCGTCGCCCGTCGTGGCGTCCCGAGGGCCCGCGCGTCGCCCCCTCTCGTCGCCCGTCGTGGCGTCCCGGGGGCCCGCGCGTCGCCCCCCCTCCCGTCGCCCGTCGAAGCGCCCCGGGGGCCTGCGCGCAGCCCTGCCCGTCGCCCCCCACGGCGCCGTGGGGGCCCGCGCGTCGCCCCTCCCTCCAGTCGCCCATCGAAGCGTCCCGAGGGCTGCCCGCCGCCCTTCCCGTCGCCCGTCGCAGCGCCCCAGGGACCCGTGCGCCACCTGCGTTTAGGGTATGCGGTGGCGGGTATGGGGGTGGCGGGTGTGTGAGCCGTCCCCTGCTCCTCCTCCTCCTCCTCCGTCTCCCACTGCTGCAGCTGCCGCTGAGGGGGGTGGGTTGTCAAACTATATGCCTATGTTATAATGATATGTAGGCTTTAGTGAGTAGCTAATGTAGGGTATAGGTTTTGTTACTTGTACCCAACTCTCTCGATAGTTATGCCAAACCTTCTCCTTCCCTTTACTCTCGACATGGTATTAAGAGCAAAATAGGTCCTTAGGACCGTTTTAGGACTGTTTTTCAGGGCCCACCAACCGTTTTCCGCCGGTTACCGCGTAACCCCGCCCCCTGCCTACACTGCCCCGAGTCGCGCAGCCCTCGCACTTGCCTCTGCTGGCCCTCGTGCGGCCCGCTAGCAGCTCGCCCGCTGCCTCGTCAGCCCTGCGCGTAGCTCGCTAGCTGCCTCGTCAGGCCCGCGCGCCGCTCCGCAGCCCTCGCGCTGCCTTTTACTGCCCCGCGCACCGCCTCTCAGCCCTCGCGCTGCCTGTACTGACCCGCGAGCGCGCAGCCAGCCCGCTGCCTCGTCAGCCCCGTGCGACGCCCGCCCAGCCCGCCCGCTGCCTCGTCAGCCCCGCGCGCTACCCTCCCATGGCCTTAGCAGCCCTCATACTGCCCTCCCACGGCCT